GCCCGGCCTTGCGCCCGGGCGTCCTCCTCCTCCTCCTCCTCCTCCGCCGCCTCCGCCTCCTCCTCCTCCTCCTCCTCCTCCTCCTCCTCCGCGCGCTCTGGGCCCCTACTGTCACTGCCGTGTCGCCGCGCGCGCATGCTCCCGACTCGCAAGTGTGTCGCTGTTGTGCGGCGGGTGCCGCGGAGAAGTGTCCATTTTTTGTTATCGGTGGGGCCCAAGTTCGTCAGCGAGGTCGCCGAAAAGATATTCAGTTTCGAGGTACTAGGGGACCTAATTCGCTTAGTCGGGCCGGTCCTGCTTTTTCCCCCTGGGCGCTGTTTTGTTGTGGTTGTTCTCGCCCCCCGCCCGTCCCGCGTCCCTGTTCCTTTCTTCCCTCGCCCGCTGCTCGCTTCGTCTCTGGAATCTACACTCCCGCGTCTGGGCCCGACCGCTTCCATGGAGGCGAGCACGTACGCTTCTCTTGATCATCACTGGCGGCGGGGGGAGAAGCCGCGCGTGGAATAATCAATGTCTCATCGGAACGTCCTGATCAAGCTGGCCAGGCTCCGAAGTCCATATCCCTCGGGGCGCATCGACGATGTGGGTGTTGATGGCTGAATTCTTGCCATAACCGATCGTGGCGGCATGCAGGCCGCGAGTGCTTCGACCGCTTCAGGCACGCCCGCAATTTACGGATGGAGAGGCAAGGATCGAAGAGCGGATTGTGGCTCGGCGACGAAATCTATATATACCCACTGCTCCCTGGGCAGGCCCATCCTGGGAGCTGTGCGTACGCCCTCCTGGCCGAGCCAGGTGGGCGCGGCGTGTACGCCGCTTCTGCGTTCAGGATGGGCTTGGCCAGGGAGCAGTGGATATGTTTAGAGTTCGTCGCCCTACAGTCAGCCCGCATAGTAAGGATAGGCAACCTTTCCAAGGGTACCCTTGCATCCTTACCCCTTCGGCCCATCCTTAGCGACTTTCGCTGGCCAACCTCGTTCGTACAACGTTAGCATGGGCCTGCAAGTCCCTTGCATCCTTACCGCGCATCCTTATGATACGGGTTGACTGTATGCGGTGTACTACATGAGTCGCTGGGATACTCGCGACCAGGGTGCTTGTGCGGAAGAACGTCGTCACAGAAGGTGCGCCTCGTTCGGATTGACACTGGTGTTTATATGCCAGAATGCTCACTTTCTGTCGGCCATGCCGAGGGCGAACATACACGACGGCGAAGCGATTGGACGCGCGTGTGCGTTGTAGTAGTGGCCAGCGGAGGCATTTTTTTTGCCTGTTCGATATGGGCTCTGTGGCTCGGGCCAGGAGGATGACGAGATGTTGATAATTCTGATGATGCTGATGATGCTGCTGCTGATGATGCTTATGATGATGGTGATGATGATGCTGCTGATGATGAAGCTGAAGCTGATGATGATGACGATGATGATGATGCTGGTGATGGTGATAGTGAAGCTGATCATGATGCTGCTGATGACGTTGCTGGTGTTGATGCTGCTGCTGATGATGGTGATGCTGCTGCTGATGATGATCATTGTTATGATGATGATGCTGCTGCTGCCGAGGATGAACATTGTGATGTTGACGGTGTGCTGCTGCTGATGATGGTGATGATGATGATGATGCTGATGCTGACTATTATGATGTTGCCGATGATGATGATGCTGATGATGGTGATGTTGTTGATGATGATGATGATGATACTGATGATCATGATGATGATGATGATGATGATGAGGATGCTGATGATGATGATGATTGATGATGATGGCGATGATGATGATGATGATGATGATGATGATGATGATGATGATGATGATGATGATGATGGCGCTGATGATGATGATGATACTGATGATGATGATGATGATGATGATGATGATGATGATGCTGATCATCATGACTATGCTGATAATGACAATGATGATGCTGCTGATGCTGATGATGATGACGATGATGATGATGCTGATGCTGCTTCTGATGATGATGCTGATGATGATGATGCCGATACTGATGCTGCTGCTGATGCTGATGCTGCTGCTGCCGATCAGGATGATGATGCTGATGATGATAATGATGACGATGATTGTGATGGTAATGTTAATGATGCTGATGATGATGATGTTGATGCTGATGCTGCTGCTGCCGCTGCTGCTGCTTCTGATGATGATGGTGCTGATGATGATACGGATGATGATGCTGATGATGATGATATTTCCGTTGATGATGAGGATGGCGATGACGATGATGCTGCTGCTGATGATGCTGATGCTGCTGATGATGATGCTGCTGATGATGGTGGTTGTGGTGATGATGATGATGATGATGATGGTGAGGTTGATGATTGTGATGGTGATGTTGATTATTATGCTGATGATGACAATGTTGATGCTGATGCTGTTGCTGATGATGACGATGATGCTCATGATGATGATGCTGATGATGAGTATGAGTAGGATGATGAGGGTGATGCCGGTAATGGTGATAGTGATGCTGATGATGATGGTGTTGATGCTGCTGCTGATGATGATGATGCTGCTGATGATCCTGATGATGATGCTGCTGATGATGATACAGATGATGATGAGGATGATGATGCTAATGATGTTGTTGTGGTTGTTGTTGTTGATGATAATGGTGATGATGATGATGGTGGTGGTGGTGGTGATGATGATGAGGAGGAGGAGGAGACGGAGGACGAGGAAGAGGAGGAGGAGGAGGAGTAGGAGGAGGAGGAGGATGATGCTGCTGCTGCTGATGATGATGATGATGACGATGATGATGATGATGATGATGATGATGATGATGATGATGATGATGATGATGATGATGATGATGATGATGATGATGCTGGTGATGATGCTGATTATGCTAATGAGGAAGAGGAGGAGAAGGAGGAGGAAGAGTGGGAGGAGGAGAATAAGGAGCAGTAGTAGTAGTAGTAGTAGTAGTAGTAGTAGTAGTAGTAGTAGTAGTAGTAGTAGTAATAGTAGTAGTAGTAGTAGTAGTAGTAGTAGTAGTAGTAGTAGTAGTAGGAGGAGGAGGAGGAGGAGGAGGAGGAGGAGGAGGAGGAGGAGGAAGAGGAGGATCGGTAGAAAGAGGCGAACGGACGACGGATCCAGCGGGTCTGCGCGAGCTGGATGTGAGAACGCACGCTGGAGGGAGGGAAGCAGAGTGTGTGCTCACGTCCCTCGGCACTCCCCTTCTTTCCCTTCCCCCATCTGCGCGCACTCCTCCCCACCTCCCCTACTCTCCTCCCCTCCTTTTCCTCCCTCCTCCGATCCTTCCCCCGCTCCCTCCCGATTCCCTCCGCCTTCTCCGGTGGCCCCTCCCTTCTCCTCCGTGGCCTCCGCTTCCTGCGCGCGAGCCTTGGTAGCTGGACACCGGGTCCGCTGCCTCCTCGTTGAGCCCCCTCCTCCGCAAGTTTTGGGGGGGCGAGGCGGGCCTCCAGGGACTTGGACCTCCTCCCGGGGACGGGCCCTTCATCCTGGACCGTTTTCGTGACGGTCCAGGGGCTGGGAGACGGCCCCCGGAGGCCGCAGAGGTCCAAACATCGGCCTCCGCGACTTCTCTTCGGGGCGACGCCCGGCAGTGCGGGCTTCCGAGGCGAGGCGGGCCTGCCGCACTGCCGGACGCGTGCCTCAGATGGTGTGTGTGTGTGTGTGTGTGTGTGCGGCTGAAGCCGTGTGTCCAGCCCTCCTCCTCTCGGGCGCTGAATGGCCCGCCTTGGCCACAGGGTCGGTGGTGGCCTGAACTGCCGCCGCGTCCTGGGCGTCCTCTCCATCGCTGTTCTGCCTCCAAGCCCCCCTCCTCCTGCTCCCATGTCGACTTCTGCTCCCAACCCAGGCGCGTTTTCCGCGACTTCGCCCGATGAGTGGCCAGCCGGCCTGTTGGTTAGATTCGGACCTTGTTTGCTGAGGCTACGGCCTCCACGCCATGCCCTTGCGGGCACGGGTGGGCTCCCCAGCTGAGCGCGCACAGACTCCAGCGCTCGCCTCGCCTCGTCCCCCTCTCCTGCTCCCCAACCTGCTGCTGCTGTTGCTGCTGCTGCCCCCCTCATCCTCCTGCCTCCTTTCTCGTCGTCGTCGTCCTTATCCTCCTCCTCCTCCTCCTCCTCCTGCTTCTTCTCCTCCCTCTCCTCCTGCAAACCTGGCTCGTCATGTGCGACTGGTGCTGAAGTTCTGCAGGTGCCGCTGCTGTGTCCGGGAATGACTACGGGGGGCGGCCCGATTTCGTGGACGCCCAGAGCTGCAAGGACAGCCGAGAGTTTCTCTCTCGGTCCTTCTGCTGCTCGCCGCGCCGCTCGTCGCAAGAGGCGGGCCACCTGCGAGGCTGCCTTCCGTGCTAGAGCTTGTGTGGGCGAGCCAGGCCCCTGCAGGACTCTACGGGCGAAGAATGTTATAACATATGTTTTTTCGCTGTCGGGGGCGCCTGTCCCAGGGCTGCTGGAAAGTTTATACCCTTACGGTGCCACGTAGGGGTATAAACTTTCCAGTCGCCCAGGGGCAGGCGTCCCCGACGGCGGAACAGTTTATGTTATACCGTTCTTCGCCCCCTTCCAGGATAGGGAGCTGGCGGTCAGGCGCGCGCTGTGGCTCGAGTCACGTGGACAGCCTGTCGCTGGGGGAACGCGCAGGAGGATGAGGAGGATGAGGAGGAGGAGGAGGAGGAGGAGGAGGAGGAGGAGGAGGAGGAGGAGGAGGAGGAGGAGGATGAGGAGGAGGAGGAGGAGGAGGAGGAGGAGGAGGATGAGGATGATGATGATGATGAGGACGAGGAGGAGCGCGGCCTGGCACGCCGCACCGCGCCCTTGCGGGAGGCTCTGCGGGACGCCCCGCGGGGTGAGCTCGCTGTTGGGGCCGCCGCGGGCCCGGGGCTGTGCTCTCGCCTGCGGGCCGGCGCCGCCGTGCTCCTGCCGCACGGTGCTGGTGCTGGAGAGGGTGCTGCCGCGCGGGCCGCCCGCTCCCGCCGCCGCCGCCGGCTGGCTGCGGTGCACGCGTGGGGCGATGGTATGTCTCGCTTCCGTGGTGCCTTCGAAGATGCACGCCGCGCCCGACCCCCCCTTCGGCGGAGCGCCCAGCGATGTATGGGGGCCTCTTCCTGCTCCCCTGCTCACGCTGCCCCTCACCCTGCTCGAGAGGCCGCTGCTGAGTGTGCCGCGCGAGCTCGTGATCGACCTGCTGCTGCGGGTGAATGTCCAAACGACACTGCAAGCACGTGGGTGCCTGGCGAGGGGCTGCTCTTCGCCAACGGCTCTGCTGCAGCGTCGGACACTTCCATTTCCACGGCATGGCCCTCAGCTGAAGTCTGGTCGTCAAAGTCGTCGGTTTCGGCCTCTGTTTTTTTGTCGGTTCGGCACGTGGCCTGCGACTCCGAGGGCGACGGTTTGCAGAACGAGTGCGGCCTCAGCGACTTCGGTTTTTAGCTGTTGCGCTTCTGAACGGTCGTCAACCTGACCCGTCGCCTTATATTCCCTCGTGTATGGTGATGTGCATGTGGCGTCGGTGGTTTACTGGAACTTCTTGGCCATCTTCCTCGTGGTTCTCGTGCTGTTCGCCCGGCCAGAGGCGAAACAGATTGTTGCGGGTGTCATTCTCCTCCTCGTCCTCTTCCTTTTCTTCTCTCTTCCTCTTCCTCCTGCTAGCGCCCCTTGTCCCTATCGTCGTCCTCGTCTCCATGCCGCTGCGGCTTCCTCATTCATCGTGCTCGTCGTCGTCCTCCTCCTCCTCGTCCTTGTTCTCCTGCTATCGCCGCTGCGTTGGTGGCGTCAGGTACTGGCCTGAAAAGCGTGGTCACAGAGTCCCTCGCCTCGTTAGGCGCCAGACTGGGGCGGGTGCATCCTTCGGGGAGGAGGGTGAATATGCGGACGAGGCGGAGGGTCAGGAGGCAGAGGATGCGTTGATGATGCAGATGATGGTCATGTTGGTGATGATGATGCTGGTGCTGATGATGATGATGATGATGATGATGATGATGATGATGATGATGATGATGATGATGATGAGGGTGCTGATGATGCTGCTGATGATGATGACGATAATCGTGGTGTGAGGTTGACGATGGTAATTCAGATGATGGTGATGATGATGCTGCTGCTGCTGATGATGCGGATGACGACGATGATGATGCCGATGATGATGCCGATGATGCTGATGATGATGCTGCTGCTGCTGATGATGATGATGCTGATGATGATGATGATGAGGATGATGATGATGATGCTGATGATGATGATGATGATGATGATGATGATGATGACGATGAGGGTGTTGCTGCTGCAGGACACAGGGCACCTCCACGCGGGGGAGGGCTCCAGATCGCAGCAGGCAGGTTCGCGGCGGGCGCCTCCCCTTGGGTTAGTCCCAGAGAGGGGCTAGGACTGTTTGTCGTTGGCTTTCTGACCCCTGGCGGGGGAGAGAGCGCACCCGCGCTGTGTGTGTGTGTGTGTGATTGTGTGTGTGTGTGTGTGTGTGTGTGTGTGTGTGTGTGTGTGTGTGTGTGTGTGTGTGTGTGTGTGTGTGTGTGTGTGCGCGGGCGGGCCCAGCTTCTCCTCGCTACGTGAGCTGGGCTGGGCCGCGCGCTTCCGCTTGACTTGACCTACGCTGCGCCGCCGCGCGCGTGGCCGCGCCCCCAACGTGTGTGAGAGAGAGAGAGAGAGAGAATGTGTGTGCCTATCCGCCATTGCAGTCCCTTCTGCCTAGCCGCCGACGTAAAACAAGTGTGTGTATGTACTCTCGCATGTAGCTTCCACGACAGGTGGCGGTCATTGCTGTGCCATCATCAATGACAATTTTGGTAAACCGCTCTTTTCATTTGCCGCAGATGGGTTGGGGGAGGAGGAGGAAGAAGAGGAGGAGGAGGAGGAGGAGGCGGAGGCGGAGATAGGAGGAGGAAGGAGGAGGAAGGCAGGAGGAGGAGGAGGAGGAGGGGAAGGAGGAGGAGGAGGAGAGGAGGATGAGGAGGAGGAGGAGGGAGGAGGATTATGAATTCTTATTCGTAGGGGGGAGGCAGGGCGGTAGTATTATTATTAGGAGGAGTGGTGAGAGGATGTGAGGAGAGGAGTAGGAGTGAGGAGTAGTAGGAATCGTAGTAGGAGGAGGAGAGTAGTAGAGGAGGAGTAGGGGGATGAGTAGGATGACAGTAGGGAGTAGGGAGGAGGGAGGCACGGAAGGTCTGGATGTATGAGGGCGAGGGATGAGGAGGAGGCGGCTTAATGGAGGAGGCGGCGCAGCGGAGGAGGAGGAGGAGGAGGAGAGGAGGTGGAGGAGAGGGAGGAGGAGGAGGCGGAGGGAGGAGGTGCGGCGGCTTATTATGCGGGGAGGAGGAGGAGGATGATTAGATTGAGTACGTGATTAGTATGCGTATGAGGAGGATAGGAGAGGAGGCAGGCGGAGGAGGCTGATGAGGAGCAGGACCAGGGGAGAGGATGACGAGCAGGAGGACGAGGAGGAGGAGGGAGGAGGATGATAATGAAGGGAGGAGGAGGATGAAGAGGAGGAGGAAGCGGCAGATGAAGAGGAGGAGAAGGAGGAGGAGGAGGAGGAAGGAGGATGAGGAGCACGAGAAGGAGGAGGA